GAATGTAATGGTAATTATTTAAGTCAGGTTTAGTGTACGTTCGCATCTTCTAGGTAAATATATAATGCCTAGGCTTATCTTAGTAGGTAAATATGAATGTCAGCTTTTGCGAAATTGCTGTTTTGGCTGTTTGTACCTTTTTGATATTCTAACAGTCCTCTTCCCCTCCTCCCATCCGGGCCCCAAAAGAAAGAAGGATTTCTTTAGACCCCCATAAAATAGAACATCGTAAAAGCTGTTAAAATGTCAGTGGCCACGTTTTCTCTGGTCAAAGCTGCTTCAGGCAATGAATGGCAGCATGTTGAGCCAGGCTTTGATATTTACATGGTATGAGTTGGAAAGAAATTTTTGACTAGTTTGACCTAACATTTTGTTTTATGCGGTTGCTTACATAAAGTAAGGAAGTGTATAGAATGACTAAGATATCGACCATTATCCAGTCTCCAGCTCCATTTGACCTTAAAATTGCTCTCCGAGAAGGCATTTGCTCATTTTGCATCGAAGCCAAGTGAATACTGTGAAATGTTTCCAACACAATTAACTCTTTAATTAACCAGAAAGCAGGTAGCTGCATCGTTTTAGATTGAGTGTTAGCGCCGCGATAATGTACGGTAAAATGATGGTTAAGAGGAACTGTTTTGTTCTCAGCGATTCCCAAAAAGCAAGTTTGGAATAATAACTTAGCACTTAAGTCGCTGGGATTATCTCCGTTCATCTACTTGAGTTATCTTTTTATGCCGCTGCTATAAAAGATACTTTAAACTGTTCAAAACAAATTCCTTTCACTGAAGCTTTACGTAAATGAATGGTCGCCAATTTTGGAATCCAGTCTAATCTCGTTATCAGCGTGCATATCTCAGTGTAGTAAACGTACCAAGGATGATTTTCTCCCTCTCTGCTAATGAAATGTCGGCTTGTTTCGTGCTCACTTGGCTGACCATCTTCATCTTCAAATCCTCTGAAGTTTTTTGTGAAGCTGACATTGAAGGAAAAAAAGAAAAAGAAAGAAGAAAAGCTTAAATGAAGGAAGTGTAACGTGCATTTTCTCTCTTACTTTGGGTCAGTAAAAGAAAAATATGGTCAGTAAAAGCCTTAGCTCCTACGTTGTACTGAGCAATGTGGTGAAATTTGTTACTTTGTACACTCCAATATCAACATTAGATACGTAAAATGGAGTAATAGATTCAGCCCCTAAATGAGACAAAAGAAAAAATACCAGTCACAAAGACACTTCTGCAAGCCAGAATAAGTTAGCCTGTTTGGCCTAAGCTTCCAAAATTTGTTTATTTGAAACAAAAAAGTATTTTTGTATTAGTTCGTATTTGGCTAATCAATAAAAAGTACTTTTCCAATATCATAGTGCTTGCCAAGATTTCAAAAAAGTGTTTTTGGTGAAAGGTTATTTTTTTAGCTTTTGAAAAATCATTATGCTACTATTCAAAGGGGCTTATTTTTTCTTGAAAGTTTGATCAAACACTTCAACTCTACAAAATAAGCACTTTATTTATTTGAAAAGAAAATACTTTTGACTTCTCAGAAACTTGACCAAACCGATTATAAACCTGCCGGGATAATGAAAGACATCATTTGTAATTTGCAAAATTTCCATCCAATAAAATAATTACGGGTCTCTATAATATCATTATTGCCTTTCAGATTTCCTAGTTTCTTGATAGAATATCCATCTTTATACCTTGAACGTTGGAGTATGTCCTAAAGTAAACGAAGTTTCTTCATTTCTAATTGATTTCAAGTTACAGATGAATATAATCTTCCGGTTTTGCTACCTCAGAACATTTTGCAGAGAAAATCGTGATGCCATGAATTAGTGGCATTTTGCTACCTCACAAAAATGCTTTTTACAGAAAGAAAATGTTATTTTTTCAAGCAAAACCTCCTTGCAACAACCATAAATAAAACGTACTGTTACTAAGTATTTGACAAGGAGGGAGCAGAGCAACCATAGAAGTGGAGAAGGCATCAAAGTTGAAAAATATACGGATCCATTTTCTATGGGCTATGACTAAATGTGCACCGATTTTTGAAAACTTTGACAGCAAATAATGCTATGCGATTATAAAGAGAAAAATTATCCTAAATAGTCGTACAATCAATAACTTAAACTAAAAATAATCGACATATATTTAATTCTATATGCATAATTTATGTACTAGTTTATACCCCTTTTAATTATCTACTACTAAGTACTAGAAGTGCTTTTACGACAAAACCAAAATCAATAAATTGGTAGTTATCCCTAATGTAGGACTCTTTAGGTTATAAGCATTTTTAGTTTGACCAAATATTTTACTATTTTACCTCTAATATATTTGTAATCTTCAAATATCCTTTCCTAAACACAGCCACTAATCCCCTCTCCGTTCCACTTCCACCAATTGTCATTTTTTTATATAAAAGTACTTTCATATTTTTTATAAATAGCTTTATAGATATTTAAGTCATTTTAATAAAAAAAAAATTGCTTATTGATAAGTGCATTTTACTTGATTTTTAAACATATAATTTCTTTGTAAAAACACAAAAAACTATCATATTTCTTCCCTACTTTTGTCTAAATCATGCAGGAAAGGTTAAAGAAGAATTGGTCCGAGAGCGAGAAGATTACAGAGGAAAAAGCAGAAAAATGGACAAGCTAAAGCAGAGTAAAATACGGTGCTAAAGAAAGATATTGTATAAATGTGATCTACCATGACAAAGGACAACCGACTCACAACCGGCTTCAACAAACTATAATCGATCCATAACTAACCTACAACAGAAACACAACAAGGTCATAACCAACCATGACAAGTTCATATCCAGAAGTGTATTGAAAACTTTGTCATAGTTTGCTGATAGTAGGCTATAATTATGTAGTTTAGGTACTATTTGCACTCTAACTTAGCTGTACTTTATTGATATTTGAATGTTAAATGATAACAAATTGCTTTAATTAAGAATTTTATGCTTTGCAGGAGCAATTTCGGGCTATGAGGACGTTAAAAAGTGTTTTGGAGCTAATATGGAGCATTGAAGACCAATTGGAGGTTAGCGTGCTTAAAAAGAAGAAAGAAAAAACACTGCAGAAAATCCTCCAGGTGCGCGGTCTATGCGGGCCGCGCATGTCAGGCAGAAACTGGCCAAAGTGCGCGGTCGATGCGCGGCCGCGCACGTGCTTTTGAGAAAAATCATCTAAGGCAAATTTTGTAATTTGAGAGGTGACTAACCTTGACTTATATGAAGCCCAGCTCGCCCAAAAAGAGGGTATCTCTATTTTTAGAAGAACTTTGGAGGCAAGAACACAAAAAGAGCAAGACGGAGAATTCTCCTACGAGTTTTTTATCTTCTTCTTCTTAATTCCATTGTTAGTTATGACTTTTTATATTGTAATCGTGCATAGTAGTATGAGTAGCTAAACCCGTCATCTAGGGTTGATGGAACTAATTGTTGGATGAAGTCTTGATTATGTTTTGATATAACTGAGCCGTTTTTACTCTATAATTGTTCAACTATGTGTTTCTTGTGATTAATTGAAAGGTCCCTTGATTAATCATGTCTAGTTGTCTAGTGTTGCTTGAGAAAGAACACTTGATTAGATTGTTGTTGAACAACGCCACTTTCGAGTAAGTTAAGAAATTAATTACTTAAATTTAAAAGCGGGATTAGAGATAACGAAGCTTTGGTGTGATATTTATGAGTTGTACAAATTGTCAACTAGAGTAGTTCGAGAGAATGCTTCTAGTAAATTATCGTAATTGATTGAGAGATAAGTACGGTAAGCAAGAACTCATTGTCTTTATAGAGTGTTACAACGAGATTATAGCTAACGTGTCAGGAATTAATCCGACAATTGGAAAAATCAATAACCCTAGATTCTTTTACCCTTGAATTCAACTTCATTCTTGCTTATTGATAGTTTTTATTGTCATTTTTCCTTAGTTAAATAATTTCTGTTAATTATCAAATAAAATCTTGAACTTTGAAAATTGTCTGAGCTTATCATTAGCGATCCTAAAAGTTATAGCAAATAGGTTAGTTCTCTGTGGGATTCGACTCCGGACTCTTGAACCGGATTATTTTTGCAGCGACTGCTTAATCCTTTTTATAAGGCATAGTTAGGCATGATTAAATTTTGGCGCCGTTGCCGGGGAACTAACGGTGTTATTTATTACAACTTGGAAGAATTGCTAGGATTTTTAGTTTAGATCAATTTTTTGTGGTGTTAAAAATATTTCCATTGAAATTCTCACGTTTGAACTCTTCTGTGACTCAGGTGCATGCCTAGAAGCTCCTTGAGAACCGGTGAACTTTTTGAAGGACTCTCAAATCCCGAGAAAGCATTCAGGGCAATGAATCGGGCTAACAAGAAGGGCAAACAACTAAAACAAGACGAACAATTCGAAATTGAAATGGACAACGTCGAGAACGTCAACGAGAACAATAAGAATGACCGAGTTGACCCAAACATCGGAGTGGTAGCACCTCTTATGCCGGAAGCTGCTCTATATGATTGGGCGCAACCAACTACTGATAACCTGGCCACCACAATTGCAGTCCCTCCGATACAAGTGGAGACGTTTCAGATTACCAACAACATGCTGCACTTGCTGCAGAATAAAGGGCTGTTCTCTGGTTCGTACATCGAAGACCCACAACAACATCTGAAGAACTTTCTATCAATATGTGTCACTCAAAGACAGTCGAATGTGACTTCTGAAGCAATCAGATTATTACTGTTCCCATTCTCAGTGACTGGGGAGGCTCAAACTTGGCTGAATTCGCTCCCAATAAACTCCATTGCTACTTGGGAGGAACTAGTCAAGTAGTTCTTAAACAAGTTCTATCCACCCAATAAAACTGCGAGGCAAATTGATGAGATATTGCAATTGAGGCAGAAACCGACCGAAAATTTGCAGGAAACCTGGAAGAGGTTTAAGGGTATGCTAGTGAAGTATCCACACCATGGCATTCCAGATCAGATGCTAGGATAGAGATTCTATATGGGTTTGGCTGACGGTCTAAAGGCCAATGTAGATGCTTCAGCTGGGGGTGCATTCTTGAGCAAAACATTCACAGATTGCAAGGTTCTTCTTGACAAGATGACTCAAAATTTAGACTGGATGACGAGAGATACAACACTCACTCCAATAGTACATTCTGTTGCTCTTGACCCAAACAATACAAATGCAGAAAACATAGCCATTCTCATGACCCAGATGAGCTTATTGACAAAGAAAATTGATGAGATGGGTACGAAACAGGTACACATTGTTGATACGACAAATGGAGGCCTATGCACTCCCTGCATAAATCAGTCATATGTTTGCTCGTGGAGTGGAGAGAATGATAACCATGGCTTCAGAGAATACATGAATTACGTCAATAATTTTGGGGATCAGAGGCAAGGTGGATATCAATGGGGACCTCAAAATCAGCAATACAGACCAATCCAACAACAATACAATACCATTCCAGGGGGAGCACGACCACAAGGCCAAGTCGTGCCTTATCAAAAGCAGCATGGCTACAATCAGCAGCACCAACAACAATTGGCTTACCAACCGCCTCATCAACAGCAGGACAGTAATATGATAGAAATTAAGGGCATGCTGCAACAAATCATTGTGACAAATGGAAAGATGCAAGAAAAGTTAGCCGCACATGATTCGGCTATTAAAGGAATTGAAACTCAATTAGGCCAGTTATCTATAGCCTTGAACAATCACCCACAAGGAACGTTGCCTGCAGACACAAACATCAATCCAAATGAGCAGAACCCAAATCAGCTAATGGCAGTGAGTCTTAGGAATGGAAGGGATTTAGACAGAGAGCAAGAAGTTGCTCAATCTAGGAGAGACGCAGTGCCAATTACTCCAGTGACATTAGAGTCCGACGAGTCAACGGAGCTCACAGAAGTTGTAATTGAACAGGCACAAGTGGACAAAGGCAAGGAGAAGGAATTTGAACAACTCCCAGAACAGGTGGTGGAAAAGGCTCCTAATAAAGAAAAAACACCAAGCAGTGGGCAGAAGCTAACTCCTACACCATTCCCTCAAAGTTTGGCAAATCAAAAGAAAGATGATCAATACAGAAAATTCATGGAAATGCTTAGACAAGTTCAATTGAATGTTCCGCTGATGGATGCTTTGAGGGAAATGCCAGGCTATGCAAAAATGATGAAGGATCTGATGCCTCAAAAATCTGACTTCCAGGACCTATCTACTGTAACTCTAACTCAAACTTGCAGCGCGGTAGTGACAAGAACTATGTCTCAAAAATTGTCTAATCCCGGTAGTTTCACTATCCCATGCACAATTGGAAGTTATGCTTTTGCTAAAGCATTGTGTGACTTAGGAGCCAGTATTAACTTGATGCCTTTGGCAATCTACACAAAATTAGGCATTGGCAGAGCTAGACTGACCTCAATGTGGTTGCAACTGGCTGATCGCACAGTCAAAAGGCCGAGAGGAATTCTGGATGATGTGCTCGTCCAAGTGGGAAAGTTTGTATTTCCTGCCGACTTCGTTATTCTTTACTATCAAGTTGATGAAGAAATACCAATAATTTTGGGGAGGCCGTTCTTAGCCACTGGGAGAGCATTGCTCGACTGTGAGATCGGAGAGTTAAAAATGAGGTTGAATAATGAGGAAATAATATTCAATGTTCAACAATCTATAAGGAGGCCTGGCGAATTTGCAAATTGTTCACTAGCGGAGGCGGTGTATGTAATACTACAAGAGGAGGATGAGACCCTTAATGTCAGAGATCCGTTAGAAGCTTGCTTGATGAATTTGTAAGATGTGGATGGTGAAGAGTTGGCAGAGTGGGTCATGGCTCTCGAAGGTCAAGGGTTCTGGAAAAGGGAACCCCAGTTCGAGCCATTACACTTAGAAGAAAGGACAACACCACCTGCGAAGCCATCAATAGAGGAGCTACCACAGTTGGACCTGAAACCGCTTCCCGCTCACCTCAGGTACGCTTTCTTAGGGCCTAACTCTACTTTACCCGTTATTATCTTATCTGGTTTATTAGTTGTGCAGGTAGAATAACTCCTACAAGTGTTACAGGAATGTAAGACTGCTATTGGTTGGACCATGGCAGATATAAAGGGTATCAGCCCGGCCTTTTGTATGCACAAGATTCTCTTGGAAGAGGGGCACAAACCTTCTAGAAAACATCAAAGAAGGCTAAACCCAAACATGAAAGAAGTGGTGAAGAAAGAAGTGATCAAGTGGTTAGATGCGGGTATCACCTTCCCCATCTCTGACAGTAACTGGGTTAGCCCAGTTCAGTGTGTGCTAAAGAAGGGTGGAATGACGGTCGTGCAAAATGAGAATAACAAGTTGATCTCGACTTGTACAGTCATGGGTTGGCAAATTTGCATGGATTATAAAAAACTGAACACAGCCACCCGGAAAGACCATTTCCCCTTGCTATTCATTGACCAAATGTTGGATAGGTTGGCTGGGCGGTCTCACTTCTGCTTTTTGGATGGATATTCAGGGTACAATCAGATCTCAATAGCCCCTGAAGATAGAGAGAAAACATCCTTTACTTGTCTGTATGGCATCTTTGACTTTCGGAAAATGCCGTTTGGCCTATGCAATGCACCGGCTACATTTCAGAGGTGTATGTTAGCCATTTTCACTGATATGGTTGAAGATATTAAGGAAGTCTTTATGGATGATTTCTCAGTGGTGGGGGATTCATTCGAAGACTGTCTTCACAATTTAAGGAGAGTGCTAAAAAGGTATGTAGAGACAAATTTAGTGCTGAACTGGGAGAAGTACCATTTTATGGTACAAGAAGGTATAGTGTTGGGGAATCGAGTGTACAATAAAGGTATTGAGGTCGACCATGCTAAGGTTGACGTGATTGAGAAATTTCCACCGCCCACTTCGGTCAAGGCAGTGAGAAGTTTCCTTGGGTACGCCGGGTTCTACAGGCGATTTATAAAAGATTTCTTTAAAATTGCTAACCCCTTATGTAAACTCCTTGAAAAGGATCATCCCTTTGTGTTCTCTGATGATTGCAGGTTGGCATTTGAGGAGCTAAAGAAGAGACTGGTGACTGAACCAATCATCATTGCACCCAATTGGGAGCAGCCGTTCGAGCTCATATGTGACGCAAGTGACTATGCTATAGGAGCAATCCTGGGGCAGCAAAAGGACAAGCTGGTGCACCTAATTTACTATGCAAGCAGAACGCTAAGCGGTGCACAACTCAATTATACCGTGACTGAGAAAGAGATGTTGGTTGTGGTGTTTGTATTCGAGAAATTCAGGTCTTATTTTATTGGTTCAAAAGTGATTGTTTGTACTAACCATGTAGCACTTAGGTACTTGATAGCAAAGAAGGAGTCAAAGCCACGCTTGATCCGTTGGGTTCTGTTGCAATAAGAATTCGATTTGGAGATCCGCGATAGGAAAGGGACAGATAACCAAGTGGCAGACCACCTTTCAAGGTTGGAGGGAGCTGAAAAGAAAGTAGAGGTTGAAGATATAACTGAGACATTCCCGGATGAACAATTACTAGCAGTGGCAATTGAGGAGACTCCATGGTATGCTGATATTGCTAATTATTTGGCAAGCGATATTGTACCTTATGAACTCTCTTCGATTCAAAAGAAAAAGTTCTTTTGCGATTATCGGTCTTATTACTGGGATGAACCTATACTTTTTAAAATATGTGTAGATAACATGATCCAGAGGTGTATCCCCGAGAAAGATCAATCTTCTGTTTTGCAGGCTTGCCATGCTTTACTATATGGTGGGCACTTTGGAGGAATTCGGACAACGACGAAGGTGTTGGAGTTGGGTTTGTATTGGCCGAATTTATTCAAGGATGCCCATGCTTGGGTGAAAAGTTGTGATGAGTGCCAAAGGACAGGCAACATATCTCGCCATCACAAGATGCCGATGACTACAATTCAAGAGGTGGAAGTATTTGATATGTGTGGGATTGATTTTATGGGACCATTTGTCAGCTCGTATGGTAACAAGTACATATTGGTAGCAGTTGACTATGTCTCTAAATGGGTTGAAGCTATGGCCCTTCCAACAAATGATGCCAAAGGAGTGACATGCTTTCTAAAGAAAAATATTTTCACACGTTTTGGCACTCCGAGAGCTATAATCAGTGATGGTGGAACCCATTTTTGCAATAGAGCGTTCGCAAGACTGTTAGAAATGTATAGAGTTCGCTATAAGGTTGCCACACCTTACCATCCACAAACGAGTGGGCAAGTGGAAGTGTCCAACAAGGAAATCAAAAGTATCCTGACCAAAACGGTGAATGCGACAAGGACTGATTGGGCAAAGAAGTTAGATGATGCATTATGGGCATACCACACAACATTTAAAACTCCAATTGGTATGTCTCCATACAAGTTGGTGTTTGGAAAAGCATGCCATCTTCCGGTGGAGCTTGAGCATAAAGCCTTATGGGCACTGCGGTAGTTGAACTTGGATATGGAAACCGCATGCACAAGTAGAGTCACAAAGCTACATGAACTTGAGGAATTCCGGTTCCATGCATTCGAGAATGCAAGATTGTACAAAGAAAGGATGAAGATGATGCATGATAAGCACATTCTAGATTGGAACTTCAAACCCGGAGATCTAGTGTTGTTATACAACTCAAAATTAAGATTGTTTCCGGGTAAGCTGAAATCTAGATAGTTAGGACCATTTAGAGTTGGGAAAAGTATTCTCAAGTGGAGCAGTAGAAACTGAGTCCGAAGATGGAACGAATAGGTTTAAAGTGAATGGGCAAAGGTTGAAACACTACCTTGGAATGGTTGAAGAAAAAGGGGATAAAGTTGTGATGTCTTTAGAAGAGCCCCAATATGTGATCGAAGTGCAATCATGAAAGCCTGCGTCGTGCCGCGACGTTAAATCAGGCGCTTCCTGGGAGGCAACCCATGATTTTGTTGTAGTTCGTCGTGCCGCGACGTTAAATCAGGCGCTTCTTGGGAGGCAACCCAATATTTTTTTCTTTGTTCTTATTTTTCGTATTTAATTTTGAACAGTGAAAGTATTGACAGGTCTATTAGTGTGCAGGGATAAAATTGTGCGCGACGGAAGGACTCGGGGTGAAGAAATCCATCCGGAGATAGGTAAAAAGTGGCTAAAAGGGAGAAATTTCGAAGGACAAATGTGCGTGGCCGTGCACTGACCGCGCACATGCCACGCACTTTTGGACCCCTACTGTTGCACATGCGCGGCTGCGCACTGACCGCGTATTTTTTGACCTCTACTGCCCCACGTGCGCGGCCGCGCACTGGGCGACGTTTTTAGGTTATTTCATTAGTTAATTTTTTTTATTTTTTTCCCTTTCTTTTCTTTTCATTTATTTTATTTCTCCCTTACTAATAACCGACCCCCCTTATTCCTCCCCTAAAATCTGAATAAAAACAAAACAAACCCTCCTCTCTCACAACAAACATATGCTCAAACCCTCCCTTCTCCCCAATTTCGAAAGCAAAAACCTACCCCCCTTTCCTCTCTTCCCTACTCAATCACTCACCAATCTCTATTCCTCACAAGCTTCTTCGGGTAAGTGCCATGGCTTCTATTTTCCTTTTCCTTTAGTTTCTATTTTTTTAGTTTTTCCAATTTTTTTCTTTTCTTTTTCTCTTTTAATTGTATGGTAGTAGAAGTCATTGTTGTTCTTTTCTTTGCTTTGTATTACTAAGTATACTTGTCGGTATGTGAGGGTAGTGGAATTTTATCTTGTTGGGTTGGATTAGACATTGTTATAATTGTGGTGGAATTGAGGTATAATTGGGTGTTTGGGGAATTTGGGATGAATTTGCACATCAAGTGTTTGTTTAAATGCCACAGTGAGTTCGTGAATGTAATTTGTGACCAATTGTGTGGGTGAAATCTGAGTAACCGCTATTGGTTCACACATCCTGCCTTGTACTGATAGTGGTATTTGTTTTGTTGGTACTATAACACCCTCAAAGAAAAGACGAACCACATGCGCCTCTTCTAGTGGTCATGTAGGCTCGTCTCGGGCACGGGCCTCAACCAATGCGCCTCAGTTTGATAGCACAAGATTTATATCAAGCTCAGCCTAGGAACATTTTAGTCAGAAGGCTCCTAAGAAGCCCATACCGGAACTGGGTGTTGATAGGGTGTCAAGACCCAAACCGATGGACCGTGGCAAAAGTGGTATCAGAGCAGTTCTGTCCTAGGGAGTCTACAAGCCGTGTCTAGTAGAGTCTTGTTTATGGGTGTATTGTGCACCACACTTATAAGCAGGAGGCTACATGGCATTTAGGACTGTCACTATTTCTTTTTACTCTAGATCGTGTGGTAGAGCTCAGTTGTAAGAACTCAATTTTCTAAACTCTATCTTATTCGTAATACAACGATGCGCACATCCAGAAAGATGGTTGGTAAGAGATATAACTGTGGAAGAGTTGAGTCAGAGGAACTCAATTTTTGCATCATGCTTATGATGGATAAATATGTGGTATTCAGCAGATCATGTGTATACTAAGACGTGTAAGCCTCTTGATAAGGAATCTTAAGGCAAGAATATTTATCCATCCCTATGGTGAAAGGCAATGAGAGATTCATAAGAAAGATACGTTACGTTGGTACTCGGTTGAGTAAGGTACCGGGTGCCCATCGCGGGCCATCGGTTTGGGTCATGACATAGGGGGTCCCTCCAGATTTATTTCCCCAATATGTATCAGGAGTTGGTTCGATGCAGGCTGGATAATTTTTTTTTGAAGAACCCGAGGAGGCCAACTTGATGGTTGTACGAGAGTTCTACGCGAACTGCT